CCCAGCAAAGCTGAGCCTGCCAAGCAGCTGCTCTCTGCCTCAAGTGAGCCCTGGGGGCTGCTCTGGAAGGTGGATCTGAAGGTGGAGGACGTGAACCTTTTCACACTCTCGGCCCTGGTGGGTAAGTAACATCCAGCGTGATCCCAGGTGGCTGTCCTGAACAAGCCTGCAGTCAGGGACCTGGCATGTCGTGGTGTGCCTCCTCCATGCCTCCAGCTCTGATGTGCCATCTCTCTAGGTGCTCTGGAGCTGCGGCTGGACACGCTGACCGTCCTGGGAAGTGCTGAGAGCTGCACAGTCAGCGTCCAGGGCATGGTGCTGGCCTTGGTAAAGAGCATTACGGAGAAGATGCAGCCGTGCTGCAAAGCTCCTGCCATCCCCAACCCGCTGGCCAACCTCTCCATGCTCTCTGTCACCTACCACAGCAGCATCCGTTCCCTGGAGGTCTGTGTGAGCCTCGGGTCTTGGCTTTACCCTGTACTGGTGGGACTGGGGCGGATGGGGCAGGGGGAGGACTGGCTGGCACTGAAAGGTGATGGAGAGAACGGGGCTGTGCTGCGCTGCACCTGGCAGTGACTCTCTGCCTGCTCACGCTCTCTCACTGTAGGTGCAGTGCGGTGAGGGGCTGGCCGTGCTGTGGAGCCCGCCCGACCACATGCACTTGTACCACCACACCCTGGCCACCCTGCAGTGCCACGAAGCCTTGCGCAGCGCCCTCGGCCACGGGACACCTCCATCCCTGCCCCTGGAGAGCCCAGCGTCCCACCCAGCCACCCCTACTGAGACACCAGGGCCCCTCCAGCCAGATGGGATCCCCCCCAAAAGACTCCTGTCCCTGTCACTGGAGCTGAGCTCTGCCAAGGTCACAGCCTTTGTCTCTGAGGCCAACTACATCAGCCTGGCTGCCGAAAGGACCTCCGTGAGCTGGCACGGCGGGGGGCTATTTTTTTTTTGGCTGCCGGCTTTGACGGACACAGCATCTTCAGCTTCAAGGAGGTGGAGGTGAAGCTGCTGCCGGAGCTGGAGGAGGTCATCCTGCACCGCTGCGCCTTCCCCACCCTGCACACCCTCCGCAACCGCGGCTGGGCCTTCTCCTTCGCCAGCGTCACCATCGAGTTCCCCTACCAGTACGATTTCTCCCGCACGCTGGATGCTGCCGTGGGAGTGCAGAAGTGGCTGAAAGGGCTGCACCGGCGCGGGCGCCCTGCCAGCACGGCGCTGCCTCCTGACCTCCTGCTCAAAGTGACTCATTTCTCCTGGGTCTTCCTGGACGACGTCTTCGAGGTCAAGCTACGAGACAACTACGAGCTGATGAAGGACGAGAGCAAGGAGAGCGCCAAGAGGCTGCAGCTGCTGGATGCCAAGGTGGCTGCGCTGCGCAAGCAGCACGGTGAGCTGCTGCCTGCACGCAAGATCGAGGAGCTGTACGCCTCGCTGGAGAAGAAGAACATCGAGATCTACATCCAGCGCTCGCGGCGCCTCTACGCCAACACACCTATGCGGAGGGCCCTCCTCACCTGGACCCTGGCCCACCTGGAGCTGGTGGCCATGGCTGATGAGTCCTTCCACGGCACAGAGCGTGTGTTGGAGCAGATGAGGGACCTGGATGGTGTCAGCCCGTTCCCTCCCGAGGGTCTGGAGATGGTCACCCAGTGGTGCCGCATGATGAAGGGCAGAGTTGGCAGCTTCTTTGGTGAGTTGCTTCCCATGAGGGGTGCCCTTAGAGGCCAGCATGGTGACTGCATGGCCTGGGCTCCCGGGACAGGCACCTGCTGCCACCACGTGATGTGTAACCAAGCAGGGGAAATGGTTTTTGGAGGTTCAAGGGCAGGGAGCAGAGATGTGACAGAACAGCCGTGGTCCAGAGTGGGGAGACAGGGCAGTGTCCCTCTGCTGCCCCCTCTCTCAGCCCTTCCTCTGCCCTGCAGTGCGGATCCGTGATTACCCTCGCTACCTCTTTGAGATCCGCAACTGGCAGCTCTCGGGCCGGCTGATCGGAGCCGAGCAGAGCGGCCAGGCCTGCTCCCGGCGCCGCCAGGTCCTGAAGCTGGGGGCGCCCTGGGGGGACACGACAGTGGAGAGGAACATGCCACCCTTGAAGTTCTACCACGACTTCCACTGTAAGAGCTGGAGGGACAGGGAGGCTCTGTGCCGGGATGGGGCTTTGTGGGATGTGCGAAGTGCTGAGCCAACCTCTGTGTCCCCAGCTGAGATCTCCCAGTACACCATCGTGTGGGGGCCCTGCTGGGACCCTGCTTGGACCCTGATCGGTCAGTGCGTGGACCTCCTCACCAAGCCCTCGGAGGACCCCAGTGCCCCGTTGCCCTGGTGGGACAAGAGCCGCCTCCTCTTCCACGGGGACTGGCACATGGACATTGAACAGGCCAACCTGCACCAGCTGGCCACTGAGGTGGGTGCCACTGGGGTAGGGAGCAGAGTGTGGTGTGGGGCTGGCTGACCCCTGCTGCTCTCTGTGCTTGTCCTTGCAGGACCCTTACAACACCACAGAGAACATGCACTGGGAGTGGAGCCACCTCTCCTTCCACTGGAAGCCTGGGCAGTTCGTCTTCAAGGGCAACCTGGACATCAACGTCCGGACAGCATCCAAGTGAGTGAGGGTCTGGGAGCACACGGGCTGCCACTGGTGCCAGGGGGTGACTGGGGTCTCTTTCTCCATTCAGGTACGACGACTGCTGCTTCCTGCACCTGCCCGACCTGTGCATGACGCTGGACCTGCAGTGGCTGTGCCACGGGAACCCCCACGACCACCACGGCGTGGTGCTGCGCTCCCCCGAGTTCCTGCCCGAGGTGCCGGTGGGGCAGCAGTACGATTCCTACCGTGCCTTCCGCTCCGAAAACCTCAACCTCTCCATCCGGATGGACCTGACGCGGCCCAGTGAAGGTGGGTCCACAGCGCCCTCGGGATCCCTCGGGGCTGAGGGTGTGCTGGTTTGAGAGATCCTTATCGGTCTTGGGTTGGGTGCTGCTGTGTCCCTGCCCCACGGTGCTGGCTGATGGCAGGTGTATTCTCAGAGCACTCCCAGCCCCGGATCCTGCTCTACAGCAGCACCCTCCGCTGGATGCAGAACTTCTGGGCCACGTGGACCAGCGTAACACGCCCCATCTGCCGTGGGAAGCTCTTCAACAACATGAAACCCAGCAAGAAGAAGCTGGGGCAGCATTACAAGCAGCTGTCTTACACCGCGCTCTTCCCCCAGCTGCAGGCAAGTCCTGGCGGTGGGAATCTGGTGTTGTCTCGCTGTTCTGCCTGTGCTGGGCTCTCAGCCCCTGCTGTTTGCTCTCTCACAGGTGCATTACTGGGCCTCCTTTGCCCAGCAGCGGGGCATCCAGGTGGAGTGCTGCCAGGGGCACATCTTCACTCGTGGTACCCAGCGGCTCATCCCACAAGGTGAGTGAGGGCTCTGCCAGCAGCATTTCCACCCAGGGCAGGGCCACAACTGACCCCTCGCCCTGTCCCCCAGCCGGCACCGTGATGCGACGCCTGATTTCGGAGTGGAGCATCACACAGATGGTGAGCGACCTGAGCCAGGTCACTGTGCACCTCATGGCCTCCACTTGTGACGAGAACGCCGACCACAGGCTTGATACCCTGGTGAAGAAAACCCACCTGCTGAGCCTGTCATCCCTCACCTACCAACGGCACAGCAACCGCACGGCTGAGGAGGTATCACTCATGGGGCACAGCAGCGCTGGCCTGATGAGATCCCCCTGGGAAAAGGGGACCTTGGTCTTTGGGTGCAACGGGGAAGGGATTTGGCTGGAGAGGAGACAGATCTGCAGGGCCTGTAATCTCCCAAGTGCCTGGCCAAGGGGCTGCCCGGTTCCAACCCCAGCATCCCTGGTGCGGGTCTCTGCAGAGGTCTCTGGGGCGGTTTCCCAGGCTCTGATCCCCACACTCTGCCTGCAGGGTCTGCCAGGGCTCCCAGTCCCCATGTGCAGAGCCCATGGGCAGGGGCTGTGGGTGGCTTTGCTGTGCTGAGGCTCTGACTCTGTGCCCAGGAGCTGCCCCTGCGGGACGGGGACGATGGTTTCCACACACACCAACTGCACTTAGTGGACCTGCGGGCGTCCTGGACCACCACCAACCGGGACATCGCCTTTGGCCTCTACGACGGCTACAAGAAAGCGGCTGTGCTCAAGCGCAACCTGTCCACCGAGGCGCTGAAGGGACTGAAGATCGACACGCAGCTGCAAGCCAAGAAGCTGAAGCGGGGTCCGCTCTCCGCTCACTCCGCCCCTGCCAGAGTGACCGCTCCCATCACCAGCGGCCGTCCCGAGAGAGCCTCCTCGGGGGGTGAGCAGAGAAGGGGGAATCCAAAACTGTGCCTGCCCTCACCCCACTGCCCCCAGCCAGCCCCCACAGCCTTGCATTGACCCTTTCTCCTTCCTCAGGGGCCTACATGCTGCAGAAGCTCATTGAGGAGACGGACAAGTTTGTGGTCTTCACAGAGGAGGAGTCGGGGGCCAGCGAGCAGCTGTGCGGCATCGCCGCCTGCCAAACCGATGACATCTACAACCGCAACTGCCTCATCGAGCTGGTCAACTGCCAGGTACCTGGCCTCAGCCACCCTGCCTGGCCGCACGCTGTCTACAGAGGGGCTGTGCCTGCCCCAAAAGGGCTCATCTGACAGCCAGGGTCTCTCCCTCTGCAGATGGTGCTGCGCGGCGCGGAGACGGAGGGCTGCGTGATTGTGTCCGCTGCGAAGGCCCAGCTGCTGCAGTGCCAACACCATCCCGCCTGGTATGGGGACACGCTGAAGCAGAAGACGTCCTGGACCTGTTTGCTGGATGGCATGCAGTACTTCGCCACGACGGAGAGCGGCCCCACTGAGAGGGAGCTTGGGCAGCTCTGGCTGGAGGTGAGCAGCTCGGGTGGCTGCGTGGGGGGTAGGCAGCACTGCTGGTACCCAGGGAAGGGAGAGCAGGGACAGCCAGTGGTGCCTCCTTGTGTCCCCAGGTGAAAAATATCGAGGAGCATCGGCAGCGGAGTCTGGACTCGGTGCAGGAGCTGATGGAGAGCGGGCAGGCAGTGGGGGGCATGGTCAGCACCACCACAGGTACTGGCCACTGTGCCTGCTCCAAAACTACTCACGTGTGTCCTTGAGGCTGGTAAAGCTGAGAGCACCTGGCCTGTCTTTGGATGGGCCCAGGAGCTGGCTGATGCTCTGAGCCCTGCGTCGCGGGGTCCCCAATGTGCTGGGATGTGGTGCTCTGACCACGGTCCCCTGCCTGTCCCCAGACTGGAACCAGCCCTCAGAAGCCCAGCAGACCCAGCAAGTGCAGAGGATCATCTCTCGCTGCAGCTGCCGCATGTACTACATCAGCTACAGCCATGACATCGACCCCGAGCTGGCCACGCAGATAAAGCCCCCCGAGACTCCCGCCAACCTGGAGAAGGAGGATCTCCTGAAGAAGCAGGAGGGTGAGTACCTCCAGGCACTGCGTCTCAGGGGACAGAGCTCTGGACTGACCCATGGGTGCCACCAGACCAAGGATGGTCTGTCTTGGCCCTGCTGAGATCAGAGGGGTGCATGCAGGAGGGATCCCCAGCCCCGTGGCATGCACCCGGTGATGCTGGACACGCTGTACCTGCTCGAGCCACCTTGGCTCACTCCCCATCTCTCTCCATCTCTGGCTGGGCCCCCACATGCATCCCGTTTGTGGGATACTGAGGCCTCACACGTCCTTTGTGTGTCCCTGCAGGAGCTGTGGACACATTCACGCTGATCCACCACGACCTGGAGATCTCCACCAACCCCGCGCAGTATGCCATGATCCTCGACATAGTCAACAACCTGCTGCTGCATGTGGAGCCCAAACGCAAGGTACCCACGAGGCCTCAGGTCACCGTGTCACTCCCTGCCCTGCACCCAGGGCAATCCTAACCGTCCCCTTTCCCTGCGTCCAGGAGCACAGCGAGAAGAAACAACGGGTGCGCTTCCAGCTGGAAATCTCCAGCAACCCCGAGGAGCAGCGCAGCAGTATCCTACACCTGCAAGAGGCAGTGAGGCAGCACGTCGCCCAGATCCGGCAGCTGGAGAAGCAGATGTACTCCAACGTGAAGGTGAGCCTGCATTCCTCAGGGCCTGGCTCCCCGGAGTCTCTGCTCGGGGGTGGAGGGTGCTTAGGGTTGTCTGTCCTTCAGTCCCTGCAGGATGACAGCAAAAACGAGAGCCTGCTCGACCTCAACCACAGGCTGCAGCAGCAGCTGAGCCAGGAGAAAGCTGACCTGCAGCTGGAAAGCGAGGAGCTGAACATACTCATCAGGTAGGGGCCATCTCTGGCCTTCCCAGCATTGTGACCCCCTTACTCCAGGGCTCCCACGTCCCAGGGCTCCCACGTCCCAGCTCTCCTCTCTCTGCTGCAGGTGCTTCAAGGACTTCCAGCTGCAGCGAGCCAACAAGATGGAGCTGCGAAAGCAGCCGGAAGATGTGAGCGTGGCGCGCCGCACTGAGTTTTACTTCGCCCAGGCGCGCTGGCGCTTGACCGAGGAGGACGGGCAGCTGGGCATAGCCGAGCTGGAGCTCCAGCGCTTCCTCTACAGCAAGGTACAGAGTCGGCCAGTGGCACCCATGTCCTCAGGGCTGGGGACATGCAGGGCTGATGGGTCTGTGTGCGCAGGTCAACAAGTCCGACGACACGGCCGAGCATCTGTTGGAGCTGGGCTGGGTCACGATGAACAACCTCCTGCCCAATGCGGTGTACAAGGCAAGCGGCAGCCTGGGGGAGCAGCCCTGCACCCTGGGGACCTGTGGGTGGCCTGTCCTCACTCCAGCCACCCGTCCTCTTCCCTGCAGGTGGTGCTGCGTCCCCAGAGCTCCTGCCAGTCCGGCCGGCAGCTGGCATTGAGGATCTTCAGCAAGGTCCGGCCACCCGTGGGAGGCATCTCCATCAAGGAGCACTTTGAGGTGCCAGGGCCAGGCCGGGAGGTGGCAGGGTCCCCACAGGGCATGGGCAGCGTGTGCCCAGCTCTGACACATCTCTCTCCCACAGGTGAATGTGGTACCCCTCACCATCCAGCTCACCCACCAGTTCTTCCACAGGATGATGGGTTTCTTCTTCCCCGGCCGCAACGTGGAGGAGGAGGAGGTGGTGGGGGATGAAGAAGACAAGTCCAAGCTGGTGACGACAGGTGAGGCTCACGGTCACCTTTGGCACCCAAGGGATGTCCCTGAGCAGGTCTGGCTGCGTGTCCAGGGTGTGTTTGTGGGCAGCTGCTGGTGGGCCATGCGTTGAGGAACAGGGACTTGTGGTGGTCTCCGCTGCGGACAGGGAGCCACTGGGGGCAAAACTGGGTCATGGCTGAGCCTCAGCCACCACCTCCCGCCTTGTTTGTCCCAGGGATCCCCGTGGTGAAGCCGCGGCAGCTGATCGTGGCCGATGACTCGCTGGGCCCAGGGAAGGGAGTCGCTCAGGGACTGAACCGCACGTCAGGCGTCCGAAGATCTTTCCGAAAAGCTCCCGAGGTACCTGCTGCTGCCTTGAGGGAGTGTGGGAGAGCCCTGCTGCGGAGCCAATCTGTTTTCGCTTGGCTGCGAGGCTGGGCAGCCATGTCCTCCCACGCTTGCCTGTCCATTTTCTCCTGCTCCCTCCCACTGTGAGGATTTGCATCCTTTACAACCAAGCACCTGCACACTTGAAGTGATCCCTGCAGTATCTCATTTTCCTAACTCCATGCCAGAGCAGCTCTCACCTCTTCCCCAGTGAAGCAATGCTATGGCCTAGTGCCCGACTGCCCCTTCCCCGCTGGTTCCTGGCCATGTCCCCTTTCCTTCCCTTCTGCTCATGGCTCCTGCTGTGTCCCCAGCATCCCGTGGATGACATCGACAAGATGAAGGAGCGCGCGGCCATGAACAACTCCTTCATCTACATCAAGATCCCGCAGGTGCCGCTCTGTGTCAGCTACAAGGTGCGGGGCCGGTGGGATGGGGCGTGCTGGGGATGGGGCATGGCCTCTGCGGCCGGGGGGATTGTCCCAGGGTTCCTGACGCTGCTGTCACCAGGGCGAGAAGAACAGTGTGGACTGGGGCGACCTGAATCTGGTGCTGCCGTGCCTGGAGTACCACAACAACACCTGGACGTGGCTGGACTTTGCCATGGCAGTGAAGAGGGACAGCCGCAAAGCCTTGGTGGCACAGGTACGTGGCACCCCATCCCATCTGACGTGTTCACCCCTGTGCCGAGGGGTCTGGGTGCAGCCATGGGGTACTGAGCTCCCTAAATCCCGGGGCAGGTGATCAAGGAGAAGCTACGCCTGAAGCCGGCGGCAGGCACGGAGGCCCGGGGGAAGCTGGAGAACAAATCGGACGGGACCATCCAGCAGCAGGAGGAGGACGAGAAGGCGCGGCTGCTCATTGGGCTGAGCGTGGGCGAGAAGAACCCCAGCAAGAAGTCGATTTTCGGCAGGCGCAAATGACAGCAACACCCGGCTGGCCGGGAAGGGACTGGGGTGCCCAGTGCTGCCTGCTCCAGAGAGGCAGCCCTAGGGCGGAGGGGGCTGCGCTGCTCAGCACAGCATTGCCCAAGGTGAGGGTTTGCTGTGTGCAGGCCCTCGGCAGACCCAGTGCTGCAGGGCAGGGGTGTGGCAGCATGGGGATGCGGGGCGCAGGGTGCTCCAGGGCTATTTTGTGGGGTGCAGCCCCCTCCTGTGCCAAGGGCTCCTGTGAGCTTCCCCCCCATCCCTGCTGTGTGCGTGCTGGGCCTGGCCCCTGGGTCCGGTAAAGCAGCAGGATCGCTCTAGGCTGGGAGAAAGGGGAACAGGAGAGAATTTAAATAAAAGAGTTTTTAATTTGGGACATTCTTGGACTGGTCATTCGTTCCTCACCTCCCCATTCACCCCGCATGGCCGGGCTCAGCGCCATCCCCCCTCAGCTCAGCAGCTTTACCCCTGCCTTTCCATTTTGGGAGGGTTTGGGGTTCACTTGCAGCATCTGCATCACCCCAGGCTCAGCCCTTGCCTCCATCTCACTCCGGTCCTGTCGATGCACGGGGCTGTGCTGGGGCTCAGAGGGGCTGCAGGGGTAGTGGTCGCTGAGGCAAGCAGGGGGCAAAGGGAGGATGAG